CAGAACGATTTTTTCCAGCTGACGAAAGATAAAAATATTGACACCCAATCAGAATCCATCCTGCTATAATGAGCTCGAGAATTTAAAGCGACCGACGCGTGTGTGTTTAGAATAAACAGATGATATCTTCCGCTGGTGTGGACGCTAAAATAGTTACCTTTATAGTTATCGTCCTTGGTGTGAACGGGGCTTTAGTCTCTTAATGTATGTTTATGTGTATATGTAAACTCGAGAATTTAAAGCGACAGACGCGTGTGTGTTTAGAATAAACAGATGATATCTTCCGCTGGTGTGGACGCTAAAATAGTTACCTTTATAGTTATCGTCCTTGGTGTGAACGGGGCTTTAGTCTCTTAATGTATGTTTATGTGTATATGTAAACAAGGAGGTCCAAGGCTCAACAATAAAGATTTTTATTTATTTTAACCTGCCCAGTTGTGTAAATTTTTCACTTGCCCTGTGAATATTTTCCGTGGCTGTAACACAAAGATGGATTTTATCTTGCCAGTGCTTTTTTTAAATAAATACATTTATTATATAATTTTATTTCGTAAAAAAAAAATCTCAACAAAAAAACCTGTAAATCATACAACCATAATCTAACTTCATAAATTCATCAACAAACTTTTTCTGGATGTAAAATATTGCTGATTTGTTTAAAGTTCATTAACAAATGCTGAAGTTTTCAAGGCCTAAAAATATATGAAATGAAACCAATTTACACTTTCAGAATGCCTCCAAAAATAAATTGGTCCCTTGCAAAACTTATTCTATAATGATCAGTTTTTATCTCAGCAATGTAATTTTATATATTTTACTTTATATTTATATTTAGTTTTCTTTAATAATGTTTGTTTTTTACAAAAAAAATAATAACAGTAAAAACGTACAATGACAAAACAACTATAATTAACATTATAAACTCCACAAATTCATCAACATACTATTTCTGAATGCAAAATAAATACATACATAAAAAAAGTAAATAAATACACAACTGCCTTTGAATGGCCATCAGTGGAGAAAGATGCTATCTGGCAGCAGAATGGTGTAGTTACATACCAGAGAATGCTGTCTGCTTGTACATTCATTCAAATTTGGCAGTTTACTGCATTTACTGACTGTGAATTATCATGATTGATACATTTTCTAGGTTTAAACTGTCTTCTGTTCATCACTGTTCCTCTGTAGAGACTGATTGAGGAAGAGAACATGCTCGCTCCATCCCTGCAGCAGTTCTCCTTGCGTGTGGAGATGCTTCCCTCATACATACCTGTTCGAGTAGCTGAAAAAATCCTCTTTGTTGGGGAGTCGGTGCAAATGTTTGAAAATCACAACCAGAGCCCATCCCGAGCTGGTGAGTGGAAGAGCGTTGTTCAGGTGTGTTGTGATGGTTTCGTTTGGTAACGCTGCCCTCATGTGGTTGCTCAGGGTCTATACTGAAGCACCAGGAGGACATGTTTGCAGCAGAGCTCCACAGACTCAAGCAGCAGCCTCTCTTTAGTCTGGTGGACTTTGAGAATCTTGTGGATGGCATTCGGAGCACAGTTGCTGAGGTTTGTCCTGTAACTAAATTGGTATTCAAAGGTGAATCCCACAAAACATGTCTCAAACATCTCTGGGTCATATTTGAAAAGATTAAGTTTATTTTTAATCAGTTAGGATTTTTGATATCGTAACATTATTTTCATGAATAAGATCCCCCATTGTGTCCCCTATTCGTATTACTGTAATGTGAAAAAAAGGAAAAAAGACACTTTGCAATAAAGTCCCATTAGTTAACATTAATATTTATTTATTTACAGTATTTATTAATATTTAACATTAGTTTGTAAAAAATACAACTGTTCACCGTTAGGTCTTGTTAGCTCATATTAATTGAACAATGTTAATAGATAAAACGTTTGATTTTAATAATGTATTAAAGGGATCATTCACCCAAAAACCTAACCCTAACCCTCCACTTCCAAACCTGTATGAGTTTCTTTCCTCTGTTAAACACAAAAGAAGATATTTTGAAGAATGTTGGTAACCAAACAGTTCATGGTAGCCATTGACTTCCATAGTATTTTTTCCATACTTAATAATTGATTAAATTAATAAATGTTTAATTTAAACAAATGGAACTTTATTGAAAAGTGTTACGAAAAATGGTGTAAAATTGAAATTGTTTTGAAATATTGTGTTGTATTATATTGGTAATGAGAATCTAAAAGATGATAAGATCAAAGGCTGGGCTTCCACCATCATGGAAAATGTGCAAATGTCAGGAATAATTAGAATTCTGATTTCACTATCGGAAAGTCCATGGAAATTTATAAAGTCTCAAAAAAAAGGGATTTTTTTTTTGTGGAAATGTATATACTTTTTTCAAGCTAAATCATGTGCATGTTTTCTTGAGATTCACCCAAACTAACAGCACGACCAGATGTCTAGATGCAATTGTGTTTGTGTCTTTTTTTTTTCCTGCAGCACTTATGGACTTTGATGGTTGAAGAATCTGATCTTTTGGGGCAGCTGAAGGTAAATAAAGAGCAGTTTGTTAATGACGTGCTTTTGCTGGTGCACTTTTGCTTTCACAATAAATGTTTTTTTGTTGTTTTAGATCATAAAGGACTTCTACTTGTTGGGGAGAGGTGAACTGTACCAAGTCTTCATTGACCTTGCTCAACATATGCTGAAAACCCCACCATCTGCCGTTACTGAACATGGTATTAAGAGACTTTTCTTATAAACCATAAGGTCACCCTCTTCAAATTCTTCTTTCCTCTTCATAATTTCTCTGAATTTGCTTTATTTGTTTCAGATGTCAATGTGGCATTTCAGCAAGCAGCTCATAAAGTGCTGCTAGATGATGACAATCTTTTGCCCCTCCTGCATCTCACTATAGACTACCAAGGGAAAGAAAGCAAAGGTGTTGCATGCTGAATAGCATTTTTATCCTTCACCAACCCTTTCCACATATTAAATACTTCACAGAATTGGATAATTATGCTTGCAGAGGCTTCTGGGAATCGAGAGGGCACCACTCCACCACAGGAGACTTCTCCTCGTGAGGCTCCGCCTACTGGCTGGGCAGCGCTGGGATTGGCTTACAAGGTTCAGTGGCCCCTACATATTCTTTTCACTCCTGCTGTGTTGGAGAAGTAGGTCATTGTTTTATGTTAGCAATTTAATAAACAGTATGAACACCACAGCAGCTTATATGAAGTTAACCCTTTCTTGATTTAGGTATAACGTAGTGTTCCGTTACCTGCTGAGTGTGCGTCGAGTCCAGTCTGAGCTGCAGCACTGCTGGGCCTTGCAGATGCAGCGCAAACATCTCAAATCAAACCAGACGGATGCCGTTAAATGGAGACTCCGCAACCACATGGCCTTCCTAGTGGACAACCTTCAGTATTACCTTCAGGTTACAACTTGAATCATCTATTTGGCTACCTTTCAATTTGCACACTACACACACTGAATATATTTTAGGTGTTTCCTCCATTGCTCTTCAGGTGGATGTTCTGGAGTCCCAGTTTTTGCAGCTCTTACAACAGATCAATTCCACACGAGACTTTGAGAGCATTCGACTGGCCCATGACCATTTCCTCAGCAATCTCCTTGCACAGTCTTTCATTCTGCTCAAGCCTGTGAGTGTCCATAACAAACCTCTCTTTATATCAGTAACCCAGGCTATGTTCTGCTTTTGGTTGAATCTTGCTTCTTTCTCAGGTGTTTCACTGTTTGAATGAGATCCTGGACCTCTGTCACAACTTTTGTTCTCTGGTCAGTCAGAATCTCGGGCCTCTGGATGAAAGAGGAGCAGCGCAGCTGGATATTCTTGTGAAGGTAGCTTTGCTTGTGTGAATTGATTTCAGAATTATTCCAAATGCAAGATTGTATTTATGGAAGCCCATTTCTGCTTCATGAGGGGGGGAAAAAATCATGTTTTGGTAAATAAAAATTTATACATAAGTTATGATTGACAAAATTGAGAAAGTCATAATCATGACTAAATTTTGAATTATGAATTTATTGTGAAAGTAAAAACTGAGCTACTAAGTGAAAAGTCAATTGACAGTCATAATTATGCTATAAAAAGCCAAAATTATGAGAAGTCAGTTATGACTTTTGAAATTAGGAGATACTAAGTTAAAAATTCTAAATAATGACAAGTAAGTGGAAATTGAGATAAGACTGTCAATGTCTGTCAATCATGGCAGTTGAAAGTGAGATACTAAGTACAGTCAAAATGATGACATAAAAAGTCAAAATATAGTTTTTGTCATAAATATGATTTACAAAGTATTTTGATATTAAATGGGCTTCCATAAATACAATCTTGGATTTGGAATAATTTTAAAATCAAGCCTTATGTCATAATACATAATTATAAGGTGTCAAACAAAAAGGTCAGCTTTTTATTTCAGTTTCAACCTTTTTATCTCATGATTTACCAAAGTATGATTTTTTTTTTTATGTGTGTGTGTATTACTTGTCAGGGTTTTAGTCGTCAATCATTCCTGCTCTTCAAGATTCTTTCCAGTGTGCGTAACCACCAGATAAACTCTTGACTTGGCACAGCTGCTGTTACGACTCGACTACAACAAATACTACACACAGGCAGGAGGCACGCTGGGAAGGTAGGCATGAGTAATGCTGTGTATTATTAAGCTGATTCATGTAAAAATGTAACTCATGTTGTTTGTTATCCTACAGTTTTGGGCTATAATGCAGCGCCTGAAGATCTGAGGCAAACTTCACACAATGGTGCATTTCAGCTTATTAAAGCATGCCTAATACAATAAGTGTGTTGATTTGTATATTTAAATTATTGTAAGACAGGACTCTTGTCATTGTCACAATTTGTGTCCTGCATTTTCTGCACTCTCATCTATCTTAAACCAAGACATTTTAGAGAAGTAAATCTATTCCTTGAACGTGAACACTTAAAATTTGTAAATACCATATGCTTTATGAAATAAAACAGACAAGTGAAACAATCACATTTTTTTTTATTTCATAAAAACTATGTACAGTAAAATGCATGCACTAAAACACAGAGGACATTTAAAAGACATGTGAGAAGACATCAGAGGAATGATGGTTTATGTGGAAGGGTTGTGACAGAATTCAGAGTTGCTGTCATAGCTGAGGCACTTTCCACAGATCAAGCTCTGAATCAGCCACTCCAGAGAGACAACAGGCATGTCCGGGGCCACACGTTTCAGTTCCTCAGATGGACATGCAGATGATGTCACTGCCAGGTCAAACTTCACATTTGGAATGTCTGTGAAAAATTGACATCACATTATTCCACATGGTTTTTCTAATCACTTTGTCACCAGTTATTTGTGCTAGCTCTATATGTTTTTCCATTGAACTAAGTGTACTATATTACCCACCAGAAAGGTCTTCATTTTCTTTATAGTGATGAACTTTTGCTGCATCACCCATAGAAAGCAAAGAGTTCCACAAATCCACACGATCTTCCGATATGAGCACCACCTTCAGAGCTTTGAAAGGGTTACAGCGAGGATGCCTGAGGACAGAGAGAAAAAAAATGTATTCATAAAAGAGAACTCAAGCTTGCAAGACTGTTCAGATAGGCAGTAAAAACAAATGTTCTGTTGTTTGTAGTCTGAATAGCAATCCAAATCAATTCCATATGTAATAATTATAATAATAATGCAGTTTTTGTAACAGCCTTATCACACTCAAAATTCTACAGTACAATATAAAAGTAAATATAAGTACTTATATTATGTAAACATAAAAAGTATAATAACAGCATAAGATTAATATGAATTTTTAATAATTTCATAAAACCGAGTTGGAGAATTTCTGAAATCAGTTTTTAAATCTTCAGGAAGGTGGTTTATAATTTAATCAATAAGATTTTGGGAAATGCGATTTGATCTGAACAGTCAAATTAGATTTAAAGTATTTTTTTCTCAATATTTGAGACATGACCAGTCAAATGAAGTACCGTCTACAGCACTGTATGAATTCATTTATTTAACATTAAATTTTTATTTAATGTTGAAAGCAGTTCAAAAAAAGTGTAAAACAGTACAGGCTTCATTCAGTTCTGAAAATGTTCAGTTCTTTTTCTAACTTCGCTCTGTGTTTCACTATGGGAATCGCTTTGGGCGTGACGAGCACGAACGACTCAGCCTTGCAAGTAGACCGTAACTGGGCCTAGCTTGGCCCGCGGCCAAGGATGCCGAAGGAGCTGAGAGGGACCTTAATGATGGAAAAAGGTTGCCTCCTGCTCAGCCTGCAGCAAGACAACTCCTGCCTGCCGTGCCTGCTTGCATGAAGGAAATGTCCCGCTACTGCTCTGGCACCTTTAAGAGCAAGCTCCCTACCAAGGGGTGTTCCATGTTGGAGATTCAAGAGATGGGGAAGCTGGGGTTGGCCGGACCTCTAGCGGTAGAGTCTTCAGTGGCCTATCACCTCCATCCGAATCTGAGCTCCATTTCTGCCTAATCTCAGATTTCGCTGCCGAGTAAAATGGAGCAGCTGACCGCGTCGATATATCAGAGGATGTATAAATACGAGGGGCAGTCCGTGTGCTCGCTGAACACAGTGACTTTACTGTCAGCGTATCAAGTGGAGATTTTGAAGGAGATGGGGTGGCAGCTGGACTCAGGGGTGCCGAACCTGGCACTCTGGGATGAAATTTGCGTGGTGAACGATCTGATTCTGCGCTCTTCCCGCGGCGCAGTTCAGGGCTGTGGCCACGAGATGTGCTTGGCTGTGTCAGGTGAGAGAGCGTTATGGCTAAATCTGTCAGGCTTGGGCGACGCGCAGAAGTCGGAGGTAATGGATGCTGCATACGATCCTACTGTTTGGCTCAGCCCTCGAGAAAATGAGGGAAACCAGCACCCTCAGGAAACAAGAGGTTTATGCTTGCCGCATAAGCAAGTGCCACGACCACCCTCTCAACTGCCACGACAGGGCTTTGAAGGAGCCGCGGCAGCGAGAGTGAGACCGGTAGGCGCTAGGGCTCAAAGACCAGCTCACAGCGGGCAGCAAGCTGGCCAACGCTCATGACCGGATGGCTCTGGGCCTTGGGGAAAGCATTTTTTTGCAGCTGTGGTGGCTAAAAACCGTCCGTCCCACCCCGTGGAGAGGAAGAAGCGTGCGACCTGACACGCAGGTATTCCCCAGCCCTTCTCTCTCCACCCACAAAGAGGAGGTGGGAATACAGCCCTCTTCTTCTGAGTTCAGTAAAGGCCCGTTCGGTAAGCTCTCCTCAAAGTCAGAGAGACGAGGGAGCTCAGAGTCATGTTCAACAGTGTCACCAAGCACTCACACAGTGTTTTCAAACACTTTTCAGTTTGGGGAAATTGAAAATAAAGAATGCATTATCGCATCCAAGCCACGGGCTGAGGGCGATATGCTCCCCGAGTTCAGAAAACACATTAATAAATGTTGCACTATCGCAGCCAGGCAAGCAGCCGAGGGCGATATTCTCCAGAGACAAAATTCAAAGATATGAGAAGCGCTCCCCTAGTCTCACCGCTGGAGGGAGCGCTCGCTCCTTCAGTGGAAGCCAGCGCGGCGGCAGTGATGACGTCATCACTGTGCGACGTCAGCCGGGCGGAAGTGTTCGGAGGACTTCTCTCTGCCCGAATAGCCATTTGGCGCTATCCCGTGGGTTATGTCAACAATTTCACAGGGGTACAGACTTCAGTTTGCAATGAAACCACCTCGATTCAATGAGGTGATTGTGTCAGTGGCCGAGGGAGAATCGGCTCATGTCCTGACGGCCGAAATAGAAACTCTTTTAAACAAACAGGCAATCAGAGTGGTGCCCAAGGAGGAGAGCTGTCAGGGCTTTTATTCCCGTTATTTTGTAATTCCAAAGAAAGGGGGCACAGCCCTTCGTCCAATTCTGGACCTTTGTGTGTTAAACAAACACCTACGAAAGTATTCATTCAGAATGTTAACACACAAAGCGCTTTGTCGATTGATTCGTCCGAACGATTGGTTTGTGACAATCGATCTGTCAGACGCTTATTTTCACAGACATTTACCCCCCTCACAGGAAATTCCTCAGATTTGCATACCGAGGCACATCTTACGAGTTTCAAACTATTCCGTTCAGGCTACCTTTAGCTCCAACGGTTTTTTCCAAATGTGTGGAAGCAGCCCTGTTCCCGTTAAGGAACAAGGGAATAAGAATATTGTCGTACATAGACGATTATCTGATATGCTCATCATCGAGAGAGCAAGCAGTGAAAGATGCAGGGATGGTGTTAAATCATCTCAGCAGCTTGGGGTTCAGGATCAACATAGCCGTTTGGAGCCCTCTCAACAAACAGAATATCTGGGGCTCAGCATAGACTCCCTCTCTTATCGAGTCACACTGACAGAGGGGAGAATTGCATCTTTCACACAATATATCGCCCGCTTTCAGATGGGGAAAGTGGTTCCGTATAGACTGTGCTTACGAATGCTGGGTCTAATGGCCTCAGTGATTTCTGTAGTACATTTGGGGCTTCTCAAAATTAGGAATTTTCAGCACTGGATCTGTGCTCTCGGCGGCATCTCAGCCGGCCGGTGAGAATTACTCAGGCGTGTGTCAGAGCACTCAGGAATTGGAAAAGAACGGGCATTCCCTTGGGGGTGGTGTCACCGAGAGTCACTATGACGATGGACGCATCCTTAAAGGGCTGGGGAGCGACTCTAATGGGCAGAGCTGTGAACGGTGTGTGGCCTCCGCAGCTGACTCACAAACATATAAATTATTTAGAGTTGCTAGCAATGCGGTTAGTGCTGAAACATTTTCTGAGCTTCATCAAAGGGCAGCATGTGTTAGTGAAAACAGACAATTCCACAGTGGTTGCTTACATCAATCGACAGGGGGGCACGCGCTCCCTTCAACTGCATCAGTTGGCAAAGAGGCTGATCATGTGGAGCGACACAAGGCTTTTATCTCTCAGGGCAACTCACTTTCCAGGGATTTTAAACAGAGGGGCAGATCTACTGTCCAGAGGAAACCCCCTGTATGGGAAGTGGAAACTCCATCCCCAGGTGGTGAACCAGATATGGTAGAGGTACGGTCAGGCGGCCGTAGATCTCTTATCCTCACAAAAAAACGCTCAATGTCCTCTGTATTTCTCTCTAGTGGACGAAAATGCCCCAACTGGGTGTGGATGCTCTAGCCCACCCATGGCCAAACGTCCTGCTTTATGCATTCCCTGCTCTGAGCTTAATTTCCCCCACTCTAGCCAGAGTGAGGGAACAGGGTCTTTCATTAATACTGATAGCTCCACGCTGGCCATCCAGACATTGGGTGGCCGAGATAGTTCAACTGCTGTCAGGCCAGGCGTGGCCCCTCCCTCCATGGAGGGATCTCCTGTCTCAGGCGGCGGGGGGGGGACATTTACCACCCTCACCCAGACAGGATAGATGTAAGAGGTGGAATTTGAATGCAGCAGGTCTGCCTCCATCTGTCATACATACTATACAGAGTGCAAGAGCCTCCTCTACTCGCTCACTTTATAGCAATAAATGGCGAGTCTTTGAAGAATGGTGTGAGCAGGGTCATATTGTCCCTTTTCAATGCTCAGTGAGGGATATTTTATGCTTTCTTCAAGATCTTCTAGATAAGGGGAAGGCTTTCTCCACCATTAAGGTGTATCAAGCTATTTCAGCTTGTCATGTAGGTTTTGTCGAGAAATCGGCAGGCCAGCACCCTTTGATAAGTTGTTTTATGAAAGGGGTGTGCCGTAAACGGCCGGTATTTAGGCAGATGGTTCCTTTATGGGATTTATCCATTGTCCTAGAAGCCCTTTCTCAACACCCTTTTGAGCCATTGGAGGGAGTTGGCCTTAAGTTTCTCTCTTTTAAGACGGTGCTGCTCATAGCCTTAGTAACAGCTAAGCGTGTGAGTGACTTACAGGCTTTGTCTGTTAGCCTGTCATGTTTGCAGTTCGCTCCAGGGCTCACTAAGGTTTCCCTTCGTCCTAACCCGGTTTTTGTGCCTAAGGTAGTTGACTCAGCATATAGGTGCCCATCTACTGAACTTGCAGCTTTTCACCCTCCTCCGTTCTCTTCTTCAGAGGAGCAAAAGTTGAATTCATTATGTCAGGTACGGGCTTCTTCATATGTATGTGAGGAGAACAGCAGGCTTTAGGACTCATGACCAGCTGTTTGTGTCGTGGGCTACTCCTCACAAAGGGAAGCCGTTGTCTCGTCAACGGCTGTCTCATTGGATCAAAGATGCTATATCTTTAGCTTATATCTGCAAGGGTATTCAACCGCCTAAGGGCTTGAAAGCCCACTCCACTCGGGGGATGGCTACATCATGTGCCTTACTCAGGGGAGTTTCTGTTCAAGATATTTGTTCAGCAGCAAGTTGGGCTACGCCACATACTTTTGTGCGGTTTTACATACTGGACGTGTCTGAGCCATCATTAGCACATGCAGTGCTGGGAGCCAGCAGGTCGGTGCCCATTTAATTGTTTTGTTGGATAGCAGTGATATGGGTGCAATCCGGGAGTGGTCTATATCTCCCATAGTGAAACACTGAGCGAAGTTAGAAAAAGAACAATGGGTTACTTAACGTAAACCCGGGTTCTTTGGTAACAGAGTGAGGTGTTTCACCAGCACTTCCCTTCTTGCACAGGTACGGGAAGAAATCTCTCTGTAATGACTTTGGCAGGGGTCGACCTGACTGATATAGGTGGAGCGGAGCCAGGTCACAGGTCGACCTGTCTGTCAAAGACAGACGTGGTGTCATAGGAGCTTCCGCAGTTGGTCACGCCCAAAGCGATTCCCATAGTGCAACACCTCACTCTGTTATCAAAGAGCCCAGGTTTACGTTAACCCATCGTTTTTCAGTACTCTCTTTCCACTATCACAGTTACTCTCTTAAGTCTCCTGGCATCACACAGAGGCTGAAGTCATTACTACAGCAACTAATGTAGATATACTGGATGTTTACTACATACAAATGGATTGCTTGCCGACGGTCAGTCTTAAGGACTGGATCTGACTTTTTTTCTTTTTTAATATTAGATGAGAAAATGAGTCATGTCAAAACGAGAAGCTCTTACCACTCCACAATGCATCCCTCTGGCCCCAGACCGGCAGGAAGTAGGTAGTTCCTGTAGTTGAGTAGCTTCTTCTCCTGGCAGCAATCCCTCACCCATATCTGAGACACGCAGGGAACTCCACCTGCCACACACAGCAGGTACTTCCTGGTCCGGCAGTGCTGGTCGGCGATCAGCAAGCTCTGATAGGCTGCTTTACACTGAAGATGCAGAAAACACACATACATATAACATGCGCACACAGCAAAAAGTATGCTGTGCAACTCGAGTCGTGCTGAATATAAGCTCACCTGTTCCTCATTAAAGTCAAGCAGGATCATTCCTCCACCTGCCTCTAGCTGTCTCTCTGTATAGTGTTTGTTGTATGGCGCTCTCTGAACATACTCTAACGAGAGAGAAATAGTGTTTTAGAAGTCACATACAAACACACACTTCCAAGTCTTATGCTTTCCATGGGTGTAATTATTTATATTTTTTAGAGAGAAAAAAAAAAGGAAAAATAATTGCAAAAAATTACTACAATTTGTTTTATCTGTCCTGTATTTTAATACATTTTAAAATGTAATTTATTCCTGTGATGCAAAGATGAATTTTCAGCAGCTGTTACTCCAGTCTTCAGTGTCATATGATTCTTTAGAAATCATTCCAATATGCTGATTTCATGCTCAAGAAAGATTTCTTATTATTAATGTTAAAAACAGTTGCTTAATATTTTTGTGAAAACATTTTTTTCAGGACTCTTTGAAGAATAGAAAATTCAAAAGAACAGCATTTATTTGAAATGTAAATCTTTTGCAACATTATAAATGTCTTTACTGTCACTTTTTATCAATTAAATGTATCCTTGCTAAATAAGAGTATTACTAAATAATTACGCAATTTTTTTCACATTCCACAAAACATAATAAACAGCAATTTAGCGGCCTTAAAATCATTGCTTCGTATGATGCAGTGTTTATTTGTTCTACCCCTCACCATCATCCTCATCACTGGGCTGGTGGTTGGAGTCTCTGTCGCTTTCTGAGGATGCCGTGAGCATGAAGACAAACCCCATAAAGAGAGAGGAGTTTTCCGGCAAAGGTCCATGTGTTGCCACCAGGTCATTAGGGTCAGGGGGCAGGTCTGCTCCGCTCCCAGATGTGTTACAAGCAGCGATACGCTGTCCTGTTCAAATGAAACAAAAAGAAAATAAGTATGGCATAACACTTGATTCAAAACACTATTTTGAATCAAAGACTGGTTGTGTACCAAAGAGCCCATAAAGTATAATGAACTGTGAGGAATTAAACACAGGCACCACTCCCATCTACCCTGTTGAGTGCTCACCCACACAAAAGAAAAAGCATGTTATGCCACATACCAGTTGCTGTTTAGAGCTGGAGATCTGCACTGCATTTAGTTGTAACAAAAGCAGTATTTATTCACACCTTCAGGTGGTTTATCAGATGTCTTATATTGTAAAATTAGACACTTACATACAACAATGGAAACACTGGGGAGAAAGGCACTCATTCTATTTATCATTCATATGTCTGAGTTCATTTTAAAATACACATACAGATAAACGTAAAACAATTTCATAGCCACTAAAATGAATAAAATGTTGTTAAAAACCCAGAACAATAAAAGACCAAATTAGTCAATAAAATCAGGCATACGATAAAACATTATTCTAAAATTGAGCAAATGCTTTGGTCCAGTTGTTGAATTAATATAGTCTGTCAGCAAGGGGCACCATACCCACTCTGGCCCCTCCCCCCCTGCGTCCTCTCTTTGCAGGAGTCCTCTCATCCTCCGCACCACTGATGAGCTTTCGTTTCCCAGAAGGCCCTGGGTTTCTTGGACTGTTGCTGGAGCTGCGTGTAGGGGTCCCTGCTCCACTGGAGTTTCCTCGGCGTCTCCGCTTTCCTTCTACCAGGTTATCTGAGGACAAAATAACACCGTGATGCCAACTGCGACAAAACTAGTGCTATTTCAACTTGTGTGACAAAGAAGGCTAGTTAGCCTCAACTGGTAGATTCTTTACACAATTAAATAAATATTTTACCCAAAAATTTAAATTCTGTCATTATTTACTCTCATGTTGTTCCAAACCCGTAAGACCTTCATTCATCTTCAGAACACAAATTAAGGAATTTTTGAAATAAAATAAAAGTCAATAATAATTATAATAATTACAACAGCTCTATTAATACATTTATTAAAACATTCATATATAGTGTTCAGATTGGGATATGTAATATTTTCTAATGTTTTAAAAGAATTCTCTTCTGCTCAGCAAGGCTGCATTTATTTGTACAGTAAAAAATACATAACTGATTGAAGAAGGTGGTCTCAAAAATGGCCAAAAAATATTTTTACACTATAATATAAAGTCATTATTTTTGTTTTCTCTGCGCACAAAAAGTATTCTTTCAGCTTCATAAAAGTACGGTTGAACCGCTGATGTCACATGGACTTTTTTAACGATGTCCTTACTAACTCTTGGAAACTCAAGATTTCATCAAAAATACCTTAATTTGTGTTCTGAAGATGAACAAAGGTCTTACGGGTTTGGAACGACACGAGGGTGAGTAATTAATGACAGAATTTTCATTTTTGGGTGAACTATCTCTTTTAAGTTAAAAAGCAGAGGCCATTAATATTCTAATGAAATCCAAATTTGTGCAAGCATCATGTAAATTTCAAGTATTTCATTATATTATAGATGTTTGTTTCCATAGTTAGCCTGGATCCAGAACTTGTTTCCACTTTCACAGTTTCAAACATGCCAGTTGAAGACTCACCAAGGCTGACATCAGAGGCCATGGTTTGGGGTGTAGATGGCTCATAGGGTCCCAGTCCATACTGCTCCCTCAGGCGGTTGCCTTGTTCCATGCTGAGAATCACAGACGTTCTGCTGTACCAATTACTCTGACCATCTTTCTCCACACAGTAAAGGAACTCAGAGCCTTGAGTCTTATGACCCTTCACCACACCTGAACACCAGAGACACAGAATCAGTATAGTTTTTTCCCCCACATTATAGTTTTTTTCCCCCAAAAATAATGGATTACTTATTTAAATGTTCCTTACCCATTTTTTTAATTATTATTTTCTGCATTTTGACACAACTAAATCATTAGACCATAATGCTAAAAACATCATATGGATTATGCACGTTTTCAAAAGATAGAAGTAGACAAAGGTAGATAGAACAACAGACAGACAGATACATATAAAGGCAGATAAAATGACAAATAAAGAACAGACAGGAAAAGCAGACAAACATAGAATGACAGACAGACAGAAAGGTACACAAAAAACAGAAAGACAGACAGCAAGATATATAGACAAGAGACAGGCTGACATAAAGAAAAAAGATACATACACAAAAGTCAGAGACATATATAAACAAACAAAGATAGAATAACAGACAGACAGAAAGAAATAAAGAAAGAATGATATATAGACAGACAGACAGATAGGTAATGGTTCTGTAATGTCTAGGGATGTAACGATTCACTCAACTCACAATGCATTGCAATACGATTCACGATACTGATTACATGATACATTTTTTTTTTTTTTTTACCAAAATGAGATTTATGACAAATTATAAATGAAAAGGTGCCCTTCTTATTGCTTGGACAAAAGCTGCACATTTCATTGTGAAACTGATTAATGTTAAATAACACAAGTAAATTGAAATTTTAAATCAAACCCCAAATCAATAAAAAAATAAATAACTCAAAAGAAATCTCTTCATATAAACAAGTTAAGGTTTTTCCAGTGCTCTTTCCATTTAAATGTATAGGCAACCACTGCATTTTAATCACAATCCCAACAAAGATGCTGCATACATGCAACATGAGCAGTTTTTAAAGGGGTCATATTATGCTTTTTTAAAGATCATTATTTGGTGTATTTGGTGTAACATTGTACAATTTCAAAATGATACATTTCTGAATTCAGTAATGTGAAATTATTATACCACATAAAGCATCTCTGCATGAAACAGAAACAGCAGACGGGCTAAATGAGATGCCAATTCACTCTGCCAGCAGGTGGCGCTTCTGGAACAGCAGCGATACAGCGCGCTTATGAACACTACTGTAATATGCATTATGCAGAGGCAAGAGGAAAAGAAAATACCATCTAAACTTTTCTAAAGAGAGTCAGTTCCACTCAGAAACACATTCATATAAACTCCCACCCCCAACCGTATCGCGACTCATTTAACATCTCAACCGATTTAAATCATCACATATTTGTATTGATTTTCAGATGGCTCAGGGTGCATCGTTATATCCCTAGTAATGTTTTTTTGGTCCTGCTTACCTATATTAAAGTACTCCTCCTCGGTTAAGGCAGTGACTTCCGTCTCTACAGGAATGGGGTCACAGAGCAAGATGTCTTTTCCTTGTACTTCACACTCCTGGTTGTCATCGAACAGAAGGCGGAAACGGTTCTCTCCCAGGTCTCGAGTGATACTCCCAGAATAGAAATACGAGTTGGATGACCACTTGGCCAGCACACGCAACCCAACAAAACTGCTGGACCCAGCGCTGTTATCTGGGGAGGTGGTGTTGAGAGATTCAGAGCGGCTTGTAGCACTGGGCTCTACTGGGCTGCCTGGTGCTTGGACATGCCTTTGGGCAAAGTGCTCCTCTTCTGAGGATGATGCACCCTGGCCATGGGCACCACCTCTCTGTCCTGTTCTGCCACCTCTGAGAGTCAGTATTAGCAGGTGATGGAGAGAGAATAAAAACAAAAAAGTGACACAATGAGCATCACAACACCCATTAATAATGGAAACAGAGAGCTCATCCATGTGCTACAAAGGGAAGCGTTTGAGTTAATACTAATGACTAAGTCATACTTGGGGGAAAAAAGGAACAAGGGTCATGCAAGATGATTAAAAACAGCGGCTATAAATTAGTGTCTAATACAAAGAGCGTCTTGGACCCTGCCAGCCTATCCAAGAGCGCCTCACCTGGACAGCGGGCTGCGGGAAGGAGGCCTTCCCCGCCGGGCACGGCCACGGGGGCTCAGCTGGGTGGTGACCCGAGACCCCCGTGCATCCGTCACCTCTGACCCCACCACCACAGTGTGACTCCTCGGCTGCTGCCATCCCCCCCGCCTGGGGTTCAAACACACACACGGAGAGGATGCGCTCAGCTGAAACGCCCTCGACCAAATGTGTATGGGAGCAGCAGCCATGAGAAGATACTAAAACCATACCGTGTCCAATAACAAGAAGGTGAGAACATGCTCTAATGAAACGTATTGACAATAACATGCACACAAGACTTTCTATGGAACAGCGCCTACTTCCCTACAACCGAGACTCATGTGTTAACTGCAGAGTGTTAGTAATGGAAAGAGAGACAGGAAGACTTCTCACCGGCCAGACTTGGCCCCTCGGCTGGGGGGCATTAGAAAATCTGGCATTCTGATGGGACCCAGGCCCGTGCTGCTTGTCCCACTGGAGCTGTGGTGTGATGGGGCCTTCGAGGAGAGTGAACTGACATCAGCCAGGTCTCCTGATGTCATGGAGCTTCCTGTGCGGGAGGGTGAGATGTCATTGTCTACGATGCAGCGATCCACCACGGGTTCCTCTGACTCCTTAGAGAAAAGATACAGCAGAGGTTTGATTATCAGTTTAATCTGTCCTTAAAACCATTGCAGGTGCACCTTCATATTTTCAATAATATTTTTCACATTAAAAACATTTACACCTAAGGAAATAAATGCCACTTCTAAAATACTTTTAAAGTCATGTCCCCTCATAGAAAATGAAGATTCCAGCCATATCATTGTAAAATAAACATTGTAAATGACCTATAAAAGTAAGGATAGCCTCCAACTTGTCTTAAATCCCCAAAAGTTAAATGAAATCATTGGGATGTTGCGCCAAAGCCTGACATTTTCTTCACGAGGAGAAAAAAATAGACAGTTTAAAGAAAATATTTGAGAATATTTCAAGAATTGCACTTAGAAACATTCTTACTAACATCTTACAATTTATCTTTCTTGAATCTGGTCAATTTATGTGAATCCGGCACCTGGTCGCCTCATGGGGCCAGACAAATACTATCTAGCAGTGTTGGGGAAAGTTACATTTAAAAGAAATACATTACAATATTGTGTTACTCTCTGAAAAAATAATTACATTAGTTACTTTTTAAGGAAAGTAATGTTACGTTACTTTTGCTTTACTTTTTTAAAACCTTGGCTGGGTTTGCTTGTTTTTAATATAAGAAACTTCTGTTTTTGGCAAATGTAAAAAGCCCTTTCACAACAAAAATGTAATGAATAAGCCTCATGCAGAGATGACTAATGAATAAGCCTCAGCATGTCCACATTTAGTCTAGAACAACAGTAATCATCATGTTTACACAATCCACACAATACATCTGCACTTTCTCTCAACATGGGGACAGGAGAGCTGTCAGTCAATAAATGGGAAAACAAAAGTAACTGGTGTTACTTATTTTTGTAATTAATTTATGTAATTCTTACATGGGTAACCTTGCGGTCAACCTCTCTGCCATCTTCATAGTAGACATCTGTAATGATGCGAGTGACCGTTGTTCGGACTTCCTGGATGGTGCGAACATGTCTGCGCAATGATGGGCCTGGATGGGTTCTGGTTGGTGTACTTGGTTCTCCCTTTAAGAGTAAGATAAAACATGAAGATACATCTAAAAGGTTACAGCCCTTTATATTTAATCATTCTAAATAACTTCTTGCAATCTATGACATGGTGCAGGATTTTTCCTCGTTCTTTGTAATTGCTAACATATTTACAAAAAGTAGTAAGTCATTATGAACATTTATTGAAATCTTTTACCCTTCCAGACAGGTTATGCGGTCCAGACAGATCAAAACTAGTCTGCTGAGACACAGCTCTCTGACAAACCAAAAGAGACAAAAAGAAAAAATATAACATGTGGCACCTGTTAAGGCACTTTATCATTAAATGTATCCTAAATAACCAACACTTTCTTACTTTGCTGGGTGGGCTGGTGGTCGAGCTGATATCCACACTAGTTTGCTGTGACACGGCTCTCTGTCGGACAGGTGTTCGAGGTTTGTCAGAAGTGCTGAGAACCTCTTGTTCTTTGGCAGGGGAGGGCAGACCACTGACCAGAGGTTCAGAGTTTGCTCCCGCACCAGCAGGATGCAGAGGTACAGCTTCAGTGACTCGGCCTGAGGCTCTGCTGTCCACTGTTTCTTTTGGGCATTTGAGAGACAGCCCTGAGTAATTAGTGTTGGGGGACCTGAACAGCTGGCTTGCTTGCCTGTTGGAGAAGTGGAGAGACAAACACATACAGGCAGAATTTTAGAAAGACTACAGAGTACATTTGTTTAGTACAGTGCACATGACCTTGCTTAACTTTGTTTCACTTATTATTGACTTGTGAAGCCACTTGCACACAAAAATAGGGTTGCAGGATTTAAAGACAAAAATCTAATGGTGGTTTTTCTGATAAAATGTGACTTAAAAAAAAGTGGTGGTTTGCTTTGGAGGGACTGCACAATTTGGCCCAAATGTTTGTGATTTATGGCTGTTTTAAGTTCTTCATTTTTAAAGGGGTCATATGATGCGATTTCAATTTTTCCTTTCTCTTTGGAGTGTTACAAGCTCTTGGTGCATAAAGAAGGTGCAACTTTTATTCTCACTGTTGCCGCCGCCGCTATGTTGTGGAGACGCTGTGTGTTTCGTTATGAAAGCGAAACTACTTTGTTTGGTCTTCCAAAAGAGGACACAACTAGAAATCAGTGGTTAAGTTGTATTTACAACACTGTTCCGGAACAGTTCAACCCAAATATTCAGGTGTGCAGCGCATTTTATGCTTTGTAAAAATCGATGCATTTCAGAAAGGCGGGGCATAGAGGAGCAACAATAATGTACATTATGTGGAAAATAATGTGTTTTTTGAACCTTAAACCGCATAAACACATTGCATTACACCAAATACACAAAATAATGTTCTTTTTAGCAACTTCATATGACCCCTTTAAACATTAAACATCATTGATAGCCTCATGGGCAGTGTGCCAACATATAGTGCCATTGCACTTCGAGTGTCCCGAGTTCAAGTCCCGGCTCGTGGACCTTTTCCAATCACGTCCCCTTCTCTCTCTCCCACTTCGCTGTCAAAAACTTACTGTCCTATCAAAATTTTAAAAAAAGTAAACGTCAAGCTTTACAAGTTTGGGAAGATTTTGTTTTATGTTATAAGCAACCCAAACTCAGAGATGAGTTTGTGCGGAGCAGCATTTACTGTGAACCAATCCGCTCTGAGACACTGAAGACACCAGATCAAGAGTCACTCATGTATGAAAAAACAGTGTCACGCTTTCTTCTGAAACACACAGTACATGTATTTATTTAATTAAATCACAGTCTTTACATTTGAAGGCTCTATTGTGATTTTGGTTTATTTCAAGTTGGCAGCCCTACCAGGATCACCAGGAGAACACCTTGAGGAACCCAGGACAAAGACAAAGACCAAAACAAATCCAAAAACATCCCAACCTTGAGCTGTGGAAATGGGTCATGCTCCATTGTACGGCTCTCTACAGCCCTGACCAGGCAGGAGTGGCACTATCAAACCTATTTTAGGTTTCTAAAGATATCCAACACCAAGGGAACCTCAACAAAAAAGAATTCAAGGTCAGTTGTGCCCAAGACTATTCTTATGCAGTCTAGTGACTTGAGACAGGGCTTTATGCTTGTTGTTTAGAAGCACTCATGCCCCTCCAAAAGCAGCACTGATCTCCTTATGAACATCTGATAAACAAATATATTTTGATTACACTTTCACTAACAATAGTAAATTAAAATACAAATATTCATGGTTGTCTTTGTTTCTTTCATTTTTAAACATTAAACAATAGAGCTTTGAATTTGCAGAAAACTACAGGAAGACCTTAAGGCTTCTCTACAGTTCACAACTGATTTATAATTGAGTCTTATTACAAATTGTTTACAAGCAGAGGAATGTGCACCCATGTGTTGTGGTACTTTCGTGAATGTGCGTCAAAGACTGACACAAAAAAGAAGAATTGTTGAATAAAGTTGTTATTTTCATTTTCTTTACACACAAAAATATTCTCGTAGCTTCATAAAATTACGGTTGAACCACTGATGTCACTTGGACTATTTTAACAATGTCCTTACTACCTTTCTGTGCCTTGAACGTGGTAGAACCTTGCTGTCTATGGAGGGTCAGAAAGCTCTCAGATTTAATCAAAAATATCTTAATTTGTGTTCTGAAGATGAACAAAGGTCTTACGGGTTTGGAACGGCATGAGGGTGAGTAATTAATGACAGAATTTTCATTTTTGGGTGAACTATCCCTTTAATTGCAAACCGAGCAGCACTGAAAACACAGTATCATGAGCTGCTTGTGCATAAAAGAACAGCATTTTTTTATTTATTTGAAAGCACAAAGTGCTGAGAGACCCCCCCACTCCCAATTTCAAAATATGTATTTTACAATATGCATTGACGCACTATGCCTTAAATTCAGCACAACATTATAATTAACTGGGCTTTCTACACTGTACACAACATGCATTAGGGATTAATAACAACAACTGGATTTTGATCCTGATGTTATGCTGTTTTAACCAGGTGCATACAAATAATTTTTACATTTGCACACAGTAATTTTCAGTAGCAAATGCTCATTGTACAGCCCTGTGAGAGCATATAATTCAAAATACCTAGCAAACAAGCATGATACTATTTTTAAATAGAACTGCACAAACATATACTTTTATCTCTAATGAACAGCTAGTGGTGATTTAAAGTGTGACATTTTCTTATTTTACAGGAGTGTGATACCTGAGCGGAGGATCACTGGACTCTTCATCATCCTCTACCTGGACATGCCTGTGGGCCTCCCGAACACGACTGAACACAGAAGGACTGAAAAACAGACAACAACAGGGAAATAATAAACCACATGACTCCCAACAATGAAAACTAAAATTTGCAGTTCTGTCCAGTATTTAAATGAAATAAAAAAAGGATCCTTATTAAGGATCTGTATTACAAATGTGTTAAAATGACAAAGGCAGAGAATCAGAAGCTCTGAGTGACAGCTGAAAAATGAATCCATCCCACAGATAAGCTTCTGCATAGCAACCACTGCAGGTTACCTGGTTACATCCATGGCAACAGTGGTAGCCTTGGAGACAGATCCTTCCTCATCTGTTAATGGTGGTTCTGGGGAAGCATTAAAATCAAGTTTAATGTGTTAAACTTTAGACCACTTAAAAAGAGTACTAGTATTTACTAACTTAATACTCATTTTATTTACTCACTCACTTCATTTAATTCATTACATCTCACAGTATATAACCATGTTTGAAACAATAATAAAAAACTATTAAAAAAATTATATATATGGGTAATTGTAATATTTTAATTTTATTATAATATTTTTAATTATATATTTTTTAATTAAATAAAATTAAATGATACAAAATAATAAATAAAAAAATTAAAATATAATATAAATATAAATATAATACAAATATAAAAATAAATTATTAAAAGTATATCATTGTAATTATGTTATTTCAATTATACACGATAATTATATTATCATGTGTTCTTGGTGTAAGACGGTGAGTGAAAATGTCAATGTGTCAAAATCAACAACAACAACAACAAAAAAAACGGCTTTTACTCTGCAGGCTGAAATGTTCTGATCCCGAGCTGCCCTCCTCCACCGGTGTCACCAGTTTCATCCTGAGACTCAGTTTCCCATCTTGCTCCACTGCTGCTGGCTCTTCGCCCTCTCTGCTCTCCTCTACCGAAATCTCACTGGCCGCCATTGTCGTCTCCCTGGTAACGTCGGCCTCCGACGGCTCTGAGAACGAGGTCATCTCTGCAAAACATCAAAAAGGCATGAAGAAAAAGACAAATGGTTCACCACAACAAGGACAGGAAGGTTAAGAGGGAGGGGTGTGCAGTTTCATCTCAGCATACTGATATTTAAACACAAATATGTTATGCAACGAAAAGAAAGGGACACCCACCAATAGGAGTGCTGTGTCTTGGTGTCTTTTTCAGCTGACTAATCTGTGGAGGAGTTGCACTCACTGCTGCACTCACTGCTGGGCGGATCAGCTCGCCCTCTTTGGGCAATGTAAAGTGAAACGGAAGCTCTGGACAGGAAAGAAAGAAACAGAAAACGGCTAGTTGGATTTACTGAAGACCGGTTACATAATCAGCAGGGATAATAGATCACTTGTTTGAGGCTTAATCCCACCTCCAGAGCTGTCACTCAGACTTTTGTTGGCGGCATTGTCTGAGTTTTTTTTGTGCTGTCCTGCATCACTGGGCTGTGTGCTCTGGGACTTGGCTCTCTCGAGCTGTAAAGGTGAAACCTCAGTTGATCCCGCCGGCTGAGACCCTGAGATCTTTGCCGTGGCCTCACGTTTGTCCTGCACAGAGCCCCTCACAGGTTGCGAGGAGCTTATGAACGGCTGTGACCTCCCATCCTTCACTTTCTCTTGAGAGACCCTCTGGCTCTCTTCTAGCACCATGACACTGAAGCTCTCCTCTTTACTGGAGTGGTCGTCTCTGCTGGGTTCACGTTGGGATATCTCCTTCTCCTCCTCTCCATTCTCCTCCTCCATGGGTTCTGGAGAAAGCACCTGGCTCTGAGACAAGCCCAGCTTTATCCCAGTGTCATCACCTGTCACCTCTCTCTGAATCTCACCTTCATCCATCCGCTCCTCCTCTTTGGTATTTCTAACACTGTCTGTAACAACACTGTGGCTGTGTGTCATGGGCTGACTGAGTCTCTGGCTTTGACTAACACTTTCTTTTTCCTTCTCGGTGTTCTTTTGGGACGAAACAGTTAAGACTGACTGAGACAGAGACTGTTGGGGGACAAGAACAGGACTTATGGTTCTGTCAGCTGATGGCGAGGCTTGTGAACAGTCAGCGACTGTGGTTTTACTTGTTTGTGGTGCATTAGAGGTGTCTGAAACACACTCTGCACCGGCAAGCTGGGAAGGAGTCGCACCTGGAGAAGCGCTTATGTTCTGGTTCCCTACATTAACAACCTGTGAGAGCTTTTGAGAGGGGTTACAGTCTTCTGTACTTTTTGAATCAAGCACCCTGGAAAGGCTTTGTGAATCTGATGTTGTAACAGGCTCAGGGTCCGTAGCATTCTTGCTTGCATTTTGGGAATGGCGTTTAGGGTTTGAGTTGCTCTTGTCCGCACCAACAGTTCCTTCCTCTTCCACGATCTGTGTGGCTTGGCTATCCTCCTCCACAACGAACAACTGTGTCTTCTGAGCAAAACTGCTGTTTTCACTGTCGAGCTCCAACTGAAAGCACTCAGCCACCTCAGAGGTATGTGAACCGCTGCTTGAAGACTTTTTTAGCTGCTCCGCTGGGCCGGTCTGCTTGGGCGATCCTGACTCGGTTGCTGATGGGTTGTTTTGATGAGGCAACTTCTTTGAGCTCTCAGTCCCTTGACTTTTGTTCACAGGTTCAAGACTTGGAGTGGAAATAAACACGTCCTACATTGAGAAAACATGGAAAATACATTGTCAACAAAAGGATGTGCAGATATGTTTAAGTGGAATACTATGAACTGTAACACATAGTTAAGGTGTGGTCACATTAGCAAAATTTCAGTAAAATAGGTCCATTTTCTATTGTCAGCAGTGTAGCAATACATAAAGCACAGCTCACACAGAAGTCTCTTTCAAACTGAACGGCTTTCTATTGGTTAACGTTTGCCCAAAATCTGCATGGTTGCATGGTAAAATCTTTCACCCTCACGCAAAATTCCTAATAATTTGGATTTCTATTGAAATTCGACATATGTGACCACATGTGTACACCTGAATAATTGATGCCTACATGTGAGAATTCAGGCTGGCTGGGGACAGAGAGGCTTTTCTCTAGAACAAATCCAGGGGAATTCTGGGACACTGGAGTGGAGGCTGTGGGTTGTGGTTTGGGGCAGGGGTCCATGTCCATTGGCTCCTCCTCTCTCCCTGGTGGCTGGTCCTCAGGGGGCGCTGATGTGTCCATTGGGGATGCAGCAGCTTCATTATAATCTAAAGGGAATCATTTAGGAATGCGTCTGAAAACCTTTTTACATCACATAAACCTAATCTGTATGTCAAACACACTTACTCTGCTCTTTTTCTGTGGGTGAATTTGGGACAATGTAAGGTGTTTGGCTTAAATTGTCCTGAGTGGCAGCCACAAAGTCAACAGATTGCCTAAAGAAATGACAGAAAAATAGGCAGTTATCCATTTCCACAATTAACCTTTTCCGTGTACACAGAGAAACAGATCAAATCAAAATGGGATTAAAACTTTCTGTCATCAAAATCATTAACATTCGTAACTGAGAAAATCAAGACAATTTTACATTTGTGGGTAAACTATAAGCTGAAGAGTCAAGTAAGTTTATATATTACTATATTACTATTTATATATTATATATTTAGATATTGGAATATCATAATTTAATATTCTTTACTTTTTCTATAATACATAAAATAATAGATTCATAATTTTACCCTCCAACCTAAAGAAAACGTGTCAATAAATCATGCTAAGAATAACCACTTACTGTGAAAGACTCTCCTGTACAAGTGTGCCCTGTCCAGACAGATGAAGCAAGCGAAGACTATGTGCAGGTGTGGATGTCGGCCGGTGTTCTCTGTCAAGCTCTGTAACACTGCTGTCTGCCTTGGTGCCTGTTATAGTGAACATGATTCTATTACAACAATAAACTAAACAAAAAACATATTTAGACAAGAACAGCTAATAAGTGGAATCATTTGGGTCTACACACCATTTCTCTCCTTTTCAAACATGTCATCCTGAGAGGAAGCAAGCACATCTTCTTCATCTTCTTGACTGTCAGTTAATTGAGAGTGCAGTATAGCCTGAATACTGAGCTTCCTGCTTTCCCCATCCTGAGGCTTCGAAGCGCAGCTTGAACTGACCTCTGACCTACAATATCATCAAGAAAATTAGAAGTCAAACTAAAAACTGGACAAACTATTATTAGTTAGAACTGTACAATAACGACATTCTTAAAATGTCATGCTTCATTAGTGAAAACTAATTTAAAGCCTCTGATTCAGCATTGCACAATGGACGCGTTGACAATTGTCACACTTAGTTAATCATGGAGGCCGTAATAATAATCTTGAGTTTTCAATGCTTTTGAAAAAGATTCTTGCCCTGAAGAATTTCCATCTTGATTGGATGATGTTCTTTCTGAACTCTTCAATCCACCTGACAGAAAAAATGACCAGAAACCAATTTTTTTTAAAACTTGATGAAAGGGTAGCAGATCAATAGTTTGCAGTAAAAATGTAAACATACATTGGCTGGCTGGTTTCTGACTGTTTGTTTTATTTGCAGGAGCTCCATCCTGCTCATCTTCCTCAAAGACTCCCTGGCTCTCCGACAGCTCCAAGAAACCGAACTGAGACATCTCATCTGTGATCAGATTAACACAAACATTCATTTATTCTATTAATAATGTATTTTATTAATAAAGAACACTTTTGGGAGGCAGCATCATATGAAATGAATTGCCATAGTGCTTTAGTGTTGTTATAGTTAACGAAAACTAATTGAAATGAAGCTGAAATAACAGAGAAATATTATATAAAAAACTGAAATAAGTTTAAATTGAAGCACTAAAATTACTAAAACTGAAATAAACAAGTTAATTAAATCATTAAATAAACAGTTATTTAATAATTATATTAATCATAAATTAAATAATAAAAATAAATGAATGCCGAAGAGAAATATACTAAACTAATTAATACCACAAAAGCACAAAAATTAAATTATTGAAACAAACTAAAATTAAAGTGAAAATGGAAAATATAAAATGAATGCTAATTCAAAATATTAATGAATATCACAGTAGCACACAAATAATTCTAAAAAAAAAACACTATTGTTTTGAAATCTTACCATGTGTCTCTGTACAGTGTGTGGTGGAGTTAGCCTCAGACTCCATGTGCTCTGTAACACTTCTGCACAAACACAATTACAAACAAAGACAGCGGATAAAAAACAAAATTAAAGCTTTTTAGTAAAATGAAATATTTCTCTCTGCATGGAAATTGTAAAAGGTGTCAAGGCAGCTCAATATTTTTAGTACCTTTTTGAGATTGGATAAGAGTGAACTTCAAAAACTTGACTATGCTCTGTAGCTGCTGAACCCGGGTCGGACTGCGAATTGTCTGAAACAAATCAAAAACCCTTTTTCAATAAACAAATAATAAGTGAAATCTCATAAGTTCACAAGTTCATTTACTCACCTGAGTGGGCTGTAGTGTCACTCTTATCAGTCTGACTGTCACTTTGTAAACAACGACTTCTAGTAGGGGAAGAAATTAGCTCCTGCAAAGGCATGATGACTCAATATCAATTTTCTTCATAGAGTCTTTATAGAGAAAACACACACGCTGCTATGACTTGTGATGCCTCACCAGCACAGGGCTTTGTGATGTGGGCTGCAGGTTAGAGAGGCGGCGGGCGAGAAGGGCACAGTAGCTGGTGTCAGGATCATCCTCCAGGGCCACGCTGTCAGGCTGGGAGTCCTCAACTATGAGGCAGGGGTTTTCTGTCTGAGGAAAACTTGAATCAAGATCACTCTCACCAGGATCCATAAGGATGGGACAGGGTTAGCAGATGTCTACATACACAGAGATCAAACAGGAGGGTTAGAACACAGAGACGACAGATGAAACCCACTGATGTATCCAAGTACATGATTTCATAATGTAAACTAAATAAGGTTATGTGTTTGACAGGGGTTTTGTTTAGATGTATTTTTATGTTTATGCATCGTAAATCACCTTGTGTACAAGCTGAAAGCTATGTATAAACTTTACATATTATTTGTACTTTTATTGTTATTATTAGTAATTCTGTCAACTTCAAGAGAAATGCTGGTCATGTGTTTCTTGATTTTCTGCAAGTATTTTGAGGTTTTAACTTTACTTTAGTTTGTACTTTAGTCAAGCTAGTGTTTTAGACAATACGGCTTGTTTCAAAGCAGCTTTACATTGGTAAACAAGAAAATAATAATTAATTAATTGATGCAAAAAGTATTTAATTCTGCAGCTTTTAATGTAAATTAATTTTGCTAGCACAACTGTAGAAAGACAAAATTATGCTTTTCTATGTCATAATATTCACAATTTTAGTCTACACTGATTTTTTCTCTCTCTTCTTTTTTTTTTTTTTTTCATGAGCCCATTTCATATTTTTCTTCGAATCTCGCTTTGTTTTTTCTTTTTGTTTGTTTGTTTTGTATTTGGGCTTGGTCATGTGATGTAAACATGGCGGCGTCCATAAAGGGGCGACTCGCTCCACGTAATTTAAGAGAAAAAAAAACAGAAATTCTTTGAAAGCTGTATGCAGGGTCTTTATCTCATGTCATTCTACAGCATTTTGGATATTAAAGCAAAAACGTGTGCATGTGTTTAAGGTAATACTTTCATGCATCTTAGACAGAACATGTTTACCAAGAAGTTATTTTATAAGAAAATTAATTTCATTTATACAAATGGCGATCTTTAATCGCGAGATTTCCTGCTGCTTGGCTGCACGAGACTACAAGTAAACTCGATGCAAATAATCCCAGAAGTAAAATCTATACAGCTAAACAACACCAAGAAATGCACAAACGATTTGCTAAGACTCAAATAGCCAAACACGTGGATTAAGCGCATTTTCCAACGAAAAGCCACAGCTTTGTCACGGAGAGATTGCGCATACGATGATGCAGGTAGCTAGCAAGCACTGCAGCTATAACCTAAAAAGAAAGCTGCCCTTCCTGTAAAACACAGCGGGGAAAAGTAGCGATCTTACTTGCTGGATCCCTGGTAGGCGTTAATCCATCTCAGCGAACGTGTTGCATTTTACAGTGCAGTGAGTGCACGTACAGAACTTCTGTACACTTTCACAGCCTAACCTTAGCGAAAGCTTTTACTTCGCGGCAAAAACCCTGCAGGAATACTCGCCGTTGATTGGGCATCAAAGTTCCTGACTCAACCGAACGGCTAAAAAAACATGTTTTGATTGGCCGAGAGAGAAGGGTAAGGCGGGGTTTTGTACTCGAGACTTGGAATTGCGCAGATGTTTAAAGGCCGCAGTGGATCTTTTCGTGTTTTATTTACCGTTGCCCATCTGCAAAAAGCCTTAAATTAAGAAAAAACGTAATTATAACTGTAAGAGTATTATTAGTAATGGGTTTCTTGACTTAAGGGGTTTGTTGCAACTTGCTTCAGCCATTTATCCAACCGCCATTGGTGCATCGCAAAGTTAAGATACTGTATCAAATCACGCCCACTAAAAGCAGAGCCCCAGTAGCCTAAGACAAAATCAACACACGACTTACAAGAGATAAAGCAGTGGCTATCTTTGATTGCAATTAGCTCAGTGGTTAGCTAAAATCTCTTGAGATAAGTCATGTATCCTGAGATAAGCTTTTTTGTTGTTGTTCATTTATTCAATTGAATATTGTTAGATCTGGGAGCTCCACTTTGATATTTAAGCTGATATGATCATTATTAGTATTGTTATTACAACAATAACAATTACAACAAACTTAGGGTCAAATGATATGGAAGCTGGTTCTTTAGTTATCTGTAGTAGGTTCTTTTTTTAATCATTAAAAATCATATTTTCATTATACAACCAGGTGCCATTTGTGACTTTCATATTTGTTTTAAAATAACTTTCACAATGTTGATTTCCACTTTTACTATCTTCCTATATGTTTTTTTTAATACATCAAATAAAATCCAGTCACTTTATTTATTTTTCCTTTTATTTCCATAATGAAAAGGCCTATTTTGGCCTTTTTTTCAGTTTCACCTTGCTGTATTTTACATAGGCTACATATACACACATATATGTTACAACTCATTGAAAAGAGGATATCTGTAGAAATATCATAATTCAATTCAGAGACTAAGACGCATAGAGAAGCATATCTTAAAATGTATTAATTCATGTTGTTAAGGCATAATGCCGTTTTAAATGTGTTTGTCTGACAGAATGTTTTAAATCTTCCAGAAATGTCCTTATCAAACAGGAAACGGCATCAGCTTCACGGAATGACCCATAAACCTGCTTTAGTTCTGTGTTGATCATCATCATGTGTTGTGTTGCATCATGCATTTCATTGGTTTAGCGGCTGCAAACATATGAGATGACACAATGTCGATAGCAACGATTGATGGCAGCTTACTTCAGCCTTTTTGGCATTTCCGAAATAATATTTTAACATATCCCTCATACACCACCTTTCTTATCAAGCACATGACAGCTAACATTCCCTGGCGTCTCGGCATCGGGTAATACAACGACGCGTTATCCTCTCGACACTATGTGCTCACACGAGGAACCATTGTTATATGCAGATTATTAAAGCACTTCGTCCACCGGTCACAAAGCATCGCGCTGGAAGCACAATATGCAAGTCACTGCGATGGCGACAGCTTACAAAAATGAGCCCATTACCTGAAAAACGGATCCTGTGCTAACCCGCAGGCTTGTCTGTTTCTGGAAGAAAGCAGGAAGAAAGGAAAGGAAAGGAAAGGTTGTGCGAGTCGATTATCTCTATGAAGATGATGGGGTGTGTGGGGGATACATGGGTGTCACTTGACGGTGCCTTGGCATCTTTTGATATGCGCGCGCATGGTAATTAATAGGAACACATTTCAAAACACATAGGAATACTAAAGAGTCAAATGATAGTGTTTAATTTTTTCACTGATTTATGTATATAAACGTGTCTGTTAGATTTCATTTGAAAGCTCCAGATTTACAAAAAATAGCCTACTAACCGTGCTATTACATTTAATGGATAAAGCTCTTTTTCCCCACATGTAGATCAGTGAATGTTAAAAAAGGATACGAACAAATGCCTTTGACTCTTGCCAAATATTACAACACACAGATCACCTTACTGACAATTACAATGACATGTAGATGAGAATGCCCAAATTATGTTCAGATTAGCCTGTAAGTAGCATGTAGGAAAAAATTAAATGATGATTTAAAAATATGACATTAGGAGCAAAAAACCTTGTCACTGCATAATAAAGAAGTAGGAGGGTGATCAGAAGTGGCCATGCTGGGTGGCCGCTGACATAATGACTACATAGCAGTCAACCAAAATAAATAAATAAAAATACAAATGTGACACACACAACTAAACAAGTAACCAGGACAAGAAGTCTTTCAAACGAAATACAAACCTTGAAGGAGCTGCAGAGTTCAAAGTCTTCAGTGGAGAAAGGTCATCGATAGTAAAAGACCACTACTTAAAACTTACCAGTATATGAGTGTGGTAAGAAAAATACATTATACAAAAGAACTTATGAGAATTTCCAGTAAGCAGTGAGCAATCTAAAAAATAGGAAATATCAGATGAGACCAGAAATGTACCAAATGTACAAAATATCGAGCATATTGTAAGTAATCTAACAGCCAGCTGAGAAGATTTTACAGAGCAGACAATCATTTAACTTTTAGAATAAAATGGTAAATAACAGAGACAAGATGTCACTTGTAACAGGAAAGTAATGTTTCTACATGATCCTAAGCGCAACACCAGTTCATATAAATGTAATTTAAAATATGTATTGTAAAATATGACTGTGTAAATTTGAATACGACTGTTTTTATTTTTCTTATAAAATAGTTCCTAGCATAAAATCTGTGAAGGCAATATAATGTAAAATATTGTTTGTGCTTTGAAGTAAACAGCAGAGGGCAGTATACAATCCTTCTCTTCATGTTCATTAGCTGCAATCAAGACTTTGCAGTAAACCTCTTAAAGGATGCTGACTCATGACACTGTGGAAATGTTATATATCAGATATCAGCCAGTAAAAGCCATACTAACCCAAACCATGATCAGACCCAAACCATGTGCTTAAAGATCATATTTCATCTGCAGTGCATAAGACATTGCACATATCAGTAAATCTCATATGTCGGTCATTATTCATTTTTATGGAGAATAATCTTTGAATCACATGTCGTGTTTATGTGATTTACAAAACCCAAATCTTAAGCTTAATCTTCCCATTAAGTTACATTAAGTTACAGTAGAGAGAACTGGCATCTTTAGTGCATCTGCTTAGAATTAGAACAACAAAGGAACAAAGACTATCCAAGATATTTGTGTGTCATCAGAAATAAGATAAAAAGATTAATTGATTATTGATCACAAATATAGGCCTATGATTATAATAAGAGAAAATCTTGGCTGTGGTTGTCTTTAAGTAAGAAGAGAAAACATCAATTTTTGAGAATGAATTTATTCTGGATTGCATCCAATTTTCTTGGCATAATGAAAAGTCATTTGCAGATGGAGCGTAAACAACTATTTCCCCCAGGTATCTCAGAATACATTATTGATGGCAAAGTTGTCATGATGAAATGTAAGCGTTTGTCGCAGCCGATAACCAATAGCAGGACGTATTTTCCGAGCCACTCTTTCCGCTCCTCCTCTGATCCCGCCTTACGGAGTGGGCTGGTGGCTGCAGTTGTCATGGAAATGCAAGAAGTCCCTCAGCTCCAGATTCAGTTACCATGGAAATGCCGCTAGGAGATGCTGCTGCAGGTTCTCAGGAGAAGCGCGACCTCAGCTCCAGATTCGGTTACCATGGAAATGCCGCTAGGAGATGCTGCTGCAGGTTCTCAGGAGAAGCGCGAGATTATTCAGCACCTTGGACAGCAGCGGTGCGTCGGTCCTCCTTTCTGCCAGACGCGATACTATATGCTTATTGTGATTGGAGAAATTGCATCAGATCAGCAGCTTGATTCAGTGAAAGAACACATTAAACAGGGTGAGTCGCCAACTTTTGGGTTTTCTACCTTTGGCTTAGCGTGAAGAGTTAAGTAGTAGTCACACATTGACATGAACCAGACAGACGTGATTCAGATAAACTGTGCAGAAACGCTAAAGCGAAACAGCTGTTAATATCTGAGCATCATACAAAGACACGTATGTACGCATTATGCAGATGATATTTGATCATTATACACTGAAAGAATGGTGCAGAAATAATTTTATTTCATAAACTGCCAGTAAATATCACAAGTAATTACAAATAAACAGCAAGTAACACGCTGAATTAAACGTGACATTTTAAATCTTTGAAAACCTGGAATAGGATTTTCTTTTAATGTATATTCCCATAATCTTTGTTATTATTTTCATTTTTTACAGTGCATTTTTTTGCAGTTATTTCAATGGTGTAACCGTTGTGTGGGATATTGTTTATCTTGTGACATTTTAGGATTGCATACTATATTGATTTATTAAATGTGCATCTAACAGGGATCCTGTCATGGGACGTTGATTTGACCATTTGTGACTTGAATAAGGAACTGAAGCTCTTTGAAGCAAGACACTCTGCCCAGTTTTCATCAGAGGTGAAAGGTCAGTTATTAAAGTTTCGAAAGATGATGCATGAGCTTTTGCAAAAATGATAAAAAATAAATTTACTATTTTAACCAGCAGCATATTATGTGATGTCTAGTAGCCATTTGTGTTTGATTATTTAATGATTGTTTGATTTTCTTTTTAAAGTGTACAATGTTTAATACTGCAAAATGTAAAAAGGTGTATTTACACAGTCGAATTGAAGCTGCTCGGTGTCTTCTTAAAACTCAGTGTAAAGGCACATAAAAAATACTGCATAAAAACCAGAGTGATTTCTGCCTGTGCAGACCAACCTCTGTAACGGGGCTGACAAGACGTGAGACGTGCGGATCCATATGCAAGCTTTATTAACATGAGAGGAGGTCAGAAACACAGGCAGGGTCGAACGGTGGCAAACAGGTATATGGCGGGCAAGACACAAGAATAGTCCTAGGGCTAGCGTAGGTCAACGATTGGCAAACAGGATCACAAGGGCGAGACTAAAGGGATAAATCCAGCAGCCCCTAGTAGAAAAGTATACAGCTGTAATTGCTTTGTAAATGCATTCATGCCACTTCTGGCATAAGAAACACCTGTGATGTTATGAGATTCAGAACATATGTTCTGTTTACTCTGTCAGAATCACAGTATTTGTGATAGCAGGTAGCTTCCTGCCATTTGACAGCTAATAGATTATGCAAAGGTGACAAGGTGAGTGTGAAACAACAGTTATATGAAATCACAGGGAGAAAGATTAGATTGCATTAATGTACGGCTTCCTGTGAGGTTGCCCTGGCAAACAAACCTGAGGTCCCACATCCAATGAAATGGCAGCATTCTGTAAATGCACGCTCAATTATGGAGTGCGTTTATTTTACTCTTATTATTTCCATCATAAATATTCTGTTTTTCAATTCAGCTGGGCTCTGTTTGCATTGAGAGTAAGCTTCTAACATTTGTATGTGGTAAATTCTTCAGTAGAGTACATGCATTTTGGAGTGTGAATGTTGTTTTTCACCCGTGTTATCTGTTCTTGTGCTTCATGGATGTTTATAATTCAAAATTAAGCAAGATTCAGATCAGCATGCCACCTGTTAGTTTGTATATCTCTTTTCTGCCGATGAATATTGTTCCATAAGAAATGAAAGCAACAAGCTTTGCATGTTTCCAGGCAACACACAGACTAACAGCCTATCTGGAACAGCTGTATGGGTGGAATAGAGTGACACTCCTGGGATTACACGACTGTTATATATGTTAAACTTGTGAATTTGTGAAGCCCTTTTATATGTGTAAAAGAATAAGGATTTTAAATCAGTAGTACTTGAGTTATATAATAAAAATAATTTTAAAAATGTGTGTGGTTAAAGGAATAGCCCATCAAAACATGGAAATGTGCTGACAATTTACTCACCCTCAGGCCATCCAAGATATAGATGAGTGTTTCTTCATCAGAACAGATTTGGATAGATTTAGCATTACATCACTGGCTCACCAATGCATCCTCAGAAGTGAATGGGTGCCGTGAGAATGAGAGTGCAAACAGTTGATAAAAAAACATTACAATCAATGTATTGTGAAGCAAAAAGTTTGCATCAATCAATCTATGAAACAATTCATCACATTTTAATCTTAAAATGATGCTTCTGGCAAAAATGTAAATCTGTCCACAATATTTATGCAGTTAAAATTCATCTTATATGAATTAAGAGAGAACTATACAAAGGTCAAGAACCGGTCAAGCAACAGTTTATCAGTGGATTTTTATGTGAAAAGACTGGATTTTCACTGGATTTAACAAGTGATGTAATGCTAAATTTATCAATTTATCTGTTTCAATAAAGAAACAAACGCATCTACATCTTGGATGGCCTGGGAGTAAGTACATTTTCAGCAAATTTTCATCTGTGAACTTTTTCTTTAACACTCACACATATACACATACCAACGTAACTTTATTTGATCTATTATAAAGAACATAACATTTGCTGCTCTGTTCGTATCTAAATTGTTGGCATTTCTGAGCAGCACAGCTGATAACAACATGCTATGCTGCACACTGCAACCATCAGCAGATATGAAGCTAAAGAGGATAAAGCATTAAATCTAAATTTACTTCCTCTGCAGCGTGGCATACCAGCACACACACACATACTTGCATGCACAAGATTGCATACATTGCATGGTCACTCTATCACTGCTTACTTGGTCACCTATTTTTCTTGTCTTTCTTAATCTCTCCATTCTGGGGTGTTGTACGTCATGGCTTCAATATAAATTCTCTGTTAGCCTGCCTTATGCCATATGGTTCCTCATATGTGACTGCTGACTCCCTATCTATCGCTGCATGAATTAATCATCAGTCCCTTCTCTATTATTATTTACCAGTGGATCATACTATTGATAACAATATCTTATAATATATCTTCCAAATGATTTCCTCCACCAATTTCTATTCAGTAGAGAAGCAGTCCACGTGAGACCCTATCAGTGTATAGTGGAGTCTATAATGGGCTTATGGGTCTTATAGGTCAGAGTGCTTGCTGGTGGGATGCTTTAACTCTTTCAGCACCACGCTGAAATTTAAATGCTGTCTTTTATCCACTTGCATGTCAGGACATCAAATAGGACCATATCATTGCTAAATGTATTATTCAATGGCTAATGCAGCTGCAGAGTGCTTTCTGTTGATCAGGGTTATTATAGTAAACTAGAACCATAAATACATTTTGTTACTTGAAATAAATGTTAAATGAATTTATTTTATTTTGTGTTATTTTTTATTCTATTCTTTTAATTTCAGCTAGTTACCAAAGCAATATTTCCTCTTTTCCTTTAGTTTAACTTGATGTACTAAAATAACTCAAACTGAAATAAAATATTTTTAAAAATATAATCTATACTATATTAAATAAATTCTATGAACAGTGGCCAGTTATTAAGTTATTGTTAAGATAAGCTATTGTTTTAGTGATTTCCCCAAGCTCTGCGGGGGCAAATGCTATTCTGCTGTGTGCACTCAAGTGAAAGATGCAATTAGCTTTCTGAATAAGGGCTGGACAGATAAAATGATATAATGCTCCACCGTCACTGAGGGACAAAAATGCTTTGAAGCCAGAAAGGCTTTTTCTCACTCTCAAGGGCAGACTTTGTAGAGAGCCAGCTTTAAGTGCCAATCCACTGATCTCTACAGTCCAGCAACCTCAAAAGACAAGGTTCAAACAGCATCGGGGACCAAGGAAACTTTGTGGCTCCAAATGATGTTTGAACTTGGTCATTAGACGTCAGTCACTGTTGCTAGATTTTAAGTTAAAGCTATTCATCTTATATTTCCATTCTGGGTTATTTTTGTTTATTTAAATTAACAAATAGTTTTAGTTTTAGCAGCACTGGGAATCAGAGCATAAACAATGCTGTTCATCTCATCTGTGATCTCTGACAGGTTAAACAAATCAGGTCATTTTTCCACATTGTTAACTGTGGTAGTTATTATGCTTCCGGAAGACTGGGAATCTGAACTGAAAATGAAACAGGGTATTTAAAGCAGTTTGTTACCTTTTGAAAGTAAACCACACTGAAGAACAACAGAGAAATGTTTTCTTTTGAAAGCTTTCAGTTGGGTATACATTGATGCTAAACTGAAGGTATTTCTAGTAAACCTGGCTGATTCATCAGTGAATTTCTAGTATAGAGTCCCTGCATTCTTTCACTATCAGAGTTTGACCTAGTCTAGAAGTGAAATGGCCTCACTGTGAACTCCTGTCCACTACTATTACCTCTAATTCTGGCTTGCAGGCAAAGAGCTGCTGCTTTTTTTTCCGCTCAGAGAATCTTGACAATAAGAATCCCTTTGTTATTTCACAGAGCCTGCCTTTTTTGACTGCAACGTCTTTGTTTCTATAAACTGAGGATTTTTCTGCTAGTGTTGTTTAGTATCATTCGATGCTTAGTCACGAAACTGACTTCAATCAATAATGATCTCCTGTATTGATTATTAGGTTACAAGGTGGATATTTCACCCAGTTATCTCACAAACCATAAAAAGCATGCCCATCCCAGATGCTTGACAAGAATAATAATGAAAAAATGCAAAACTGCTGCACCCACACAGCGTTTCAAGTGTTTCATTTCTTCTGTACATTCCATTATTCCCTAGATGCAGCTTATCATAATGCCCATATTCTCAGTGAGAGATGTACTAGTTCATATCCTGCCACCTGTCATCTATATCTGCAGACTGACTTGCTGGTTTTGTTTACTGTGCGTTTGAGATTAAAAGGCAGAAGTGTGAATATAATCTTTCTGTAATGAGAACAGAGGAGCAGCTCCCTCTTCTCACAGCACAGAGTGGCTTCCTCCACGTCTCTGACAGGTGGCAGTCACTGCTGCTCTGTTCTGTACAGAAATCATTTTCATTGTTTTAGCCAGCAGTGGAAGATGATGGATGAGGACTGAGCATGCTCAGTACGGCTGGTCTGCCACTCCTGCAGCTGTGCTTGGAATACTGATCAGGACGTGAGTGCAGTGTCATCATGGCTGACTGCTTGTAAATGTCAGAGCACAAAACTAAAAGTGACTTTTAGTTAATGAAAGGTTTTAAGCATGTGAATAAGAGCAGTTTTGACTTTTGCTTCTTTGTTCTTTTACATGCAGGATGTAAATTACCTTATATTATACACCGAGACTTGTCAAAGCACTTGGATATCATTGCTCTTTTGTTGGTTTTGATTGCTTCTTTTGTCATCATTTGTAAGTCACTTTGGATAAAAGCGTCTGCTAAATGACTAAATGTAAATGTATATATACTGTGTGAATATGTGTGTGTGTGTGTGAGAGTGTATATATTCACACAATATATAATATAAGGTTTTTATATATATATATATATATATATACATACAGTATATATAAAACCAGT